CTAATTTTCTTAAGGGATTGTACAGAGGTTTTCTTAATGTTTCATGTGTATCTTGGACATCAATCTGCACCATTCCAATTTTCAGTCTTTTGACTGGAATGGTAAACATTGATGCTGTCAGTGTCCCCAATACGTGTAGAAAATTTAGCAAACCTCTCTATAACCCCTTTAAAATGATGATATTTTGGAAGTGTTCTGAAAGGTAGTTGCAATGATTTCTTAAGTTTTTATGTCTTCAATTTTTGTTTGAAAATAGTTGTTTGATGACGAATTGAGTATTTTAGTGTACATGAAACAAAATGGCTTGCTTTGATAAAATGATGAATACCCCATACTCTGAAACTGTCCCAGTTGACAAAAGCATCAACCAAATTGTAGGAAGATGTAAACAAGGCCTTAGTAGATATTGATTGAACAGGGAACTAGCTAGAGATATAGGCACATTGGAATATTGATTTTTCTTCACTAGCACTGAATGAAGCAGACTTCGCCATTACTTGCTCATAATGTAGAAATTGTCTTGTAACCATAGCAACCTTGTCTAGAACTGGGTAAATATAACAGAATTATGCTGTCGTCACCCACGGATGGAAACTTTTGTTCGATGGTGTTAGAGCTCGGACGTGAAGTGACAATAGATGAAATTAATCACCAAGATTATCTGAGATAGTTGTGAAAATCACTGATTCAACTGATTTTAGACGCAGCATAAACAGTTTGACATGTTTGTTAGTTATCGAGATGGGATTGAGATTTGTTATGTAATAGATAAGTGTAAGATCTCGATTTTTTTAATTTACTTTTTCATAGCAGAAATTTTGTTTAGACATGTGAAACTGATAGACTGATATGGGATGTAGAATAAACAGTTTGACATGTTTGTTAGTTATCGAGATGGGATTGAGATTTGTTATGTAATAGATAAGTGTAAGATCTCGATTTTTTTAATTTACTTTTTCATAGCAGAAATTTTGTTTAGACATGTGAAACTGATAGACTGATATGGGATGTAGAATAAACAGTTTGACATGTTTGTTAGTTATCGAGATGGGATTGAGATTTGTTATGTAATAGATAAGTGTAAGATCTCGATTTTTTTAATTTACTTTTTCATAGCAGAAATTTTGTTAGACATGTGAAACTGATAGACTGATATGGGATGTAGAATAAACAGTTTGACATGTTTAACAGTTATCGAGATGGTATCGAGATTTGTTAAATAACAAGATAAATGTTTGGTTGAAATTTAATGGGATCGAGATTTGTTATTTAAGCTTAATAGAGTGTAAGATCTCCACTTTTTTTTTATTTAAATTTTCCATTAGAACAAATTTTGTTAAAAATGTGAAAACTGTCAATAATGTTAGATGTAGCATAAGAATTGAACATATGTTTGTTATTAATCGAGATAGGATCGAGATTTGTTATGTGATAGATAAGATAAGATCTCGATTTTTTTTAATTTTCATTTTCTACAGGAGAAATTTTGTTAGACATATATCAGTGATAGGCTGATTGGGGGATGTAGCTAAAACAATTTGACAGCGATCGAGATAGGATCGAGATTTGTTATATATATAATAAGTGTAAGATCTCGATGTAACATGTTTTTTTAAAAATTGTGATGAGAACGAGATTTGTTAATTAATTAATTGAGATAAGTAAAATGTAACTTTTTGGTAAGTTTGTAATGTGGGACCTTGTCTAGATTACAATCGAGATTTCAATTTTTGAGACAAAAATTTATTTGTATCACTTAGGACAAATTGTGTAGGAAATATCAAATATATCACTGATAGACTGAAGTGGGCTGTAGCAAGATGTAGCGTAAATAATTTAATATGATGGATTAAATTGAGATAGGATGAAGAGTTGATATATAATGGGATTATTTTGTGAGATCTCTATTTTAACAATTTTATATTTGTAATGAGAAAGGTTTTGTTAAATAATGAATTGAAATAAGGTACTATTTGTTAAAGGAAAAAGGTCTTAATGTGATACTACGTCTTAAAATGAACATAAAATTTAAGTTCTCAAAATGGTCAATATGAGTATATATTCATCAGTGAACTTACCTGGTGTCATAAAGTTACAACAGAATCCCTGTAAAATCTAGAAAATTGGAAAATTCAAAAAACTAAGTAATTATTTTCAATAGTTAATTGCATATTTATGGATAATTACTAAGTTTTTTGGATTTATTGGATTATATAAGGATCCTGTTATGTTATTTATGTGCTGGTAATTGAAATTCATTATAGGATCTTCTATCTTCCTACATTAATTTCTTTTTTATTTCCCATGATGTAATTTTATAAATATGATTATAAGATTTCTTAAAGATGGGTTCCCTTATTTTCATACATGAAAATGAAAATGCTAACACTTATATGAATAGAAAGTAGAGGTGTTGTAATGCCTTGGAAAAATACCAGTTTGTCTCACATGTCCATAATTAATTCATAATATGCTAAATTACAAGAGAATTACCACCAGAATTCCAATGAGTGACCGATCAAGAGAGGTCAAAAAGTCTTTTTTTGTTTATCCAGACTGTACATACGTAGACATTTATAATTGGTTAAAACTCTTAATTACATGCATTAAGAACATAATGATATGATTAAGAATACATGATAATTCATTAGAAACACCAATTAATCAAATAGTTTGCTTAAATTGACACTAAAAAATAAGGAAACCCATCTTTAAATTGTGGCTTAAAGGAACAGATTTGCCATTTTCAGGGGTTGATTTGAGTCTTGAATATGTAAATGGTCTACAGAAGTACGGTACTATGAATGAACGAAAATCTCACAATTCTTCAAAACTACCGTATCCCAAAATATGGGTCTTTCTATATATGGTAATATATGATAGAGTCTCAAAAAAAGACAAGTCATCATCTTATCTTTCTAATGCAGATAAATTTGGACCGACATGGCTCAAATTTCGACAGTGAGCTGTGAAAACTATGACTGATTAGCTTAGCTAAGTGACAATTGGTCAAACGATGGCGAACTTATGGTAAAAGTTGTAAATGGTCCAGTGTAGATCTGTCTGTAAGCTACACGTGGGGGAGGGAATGTTTAACACTATTACTAGTTATAAGGATAAGAAAAGTAGTCCTTGAAGATTTGAAGCACTAGAATGGAACAAGTTAACAGGTTTCACTGACTGTAGACACAATCAAACAGTTCTTATAAACTCATTCACAATCTCTTATTAACTCATTGATGGGTATCTACTTGTTATCAATTGACTAGAGCTCATCTCATGCTGCTGACACATGTTTCTGATAAACAATCCTCATCAGTAGAGCTTTTATTGGAAATAGTTGTTAACTTTCCAATATTTAGACTCATTCAAAAGAGATTTTTAAGCCTTAGTAAGTTTATTGGGGACGCTTTTTTCTTCTATTTGCACCATTCCAATTTCTTCTCTGTGGTTCCTGTCATTTGAAAAAAACTTTACAACGTGATCTGGTCAATTATTTTTGGAATCGCAGGAATCACACAAGTTTATGATGCAAATAGAAGTTACAATTTTTATAAACAAAGATTAGAAAATTAGAATGATGTGAATAGAAGCTATAAGTGTCCCTGATTCAAAGGCTAGAAAAATGAATTCGAATGAACCTATGATGTATATCGTGGGTGACCGCTTGAAACCTCGTATAACGATTCATGACGGAGAATTACTTTTTGAGAAAAACGCAAAAAACTATTTGTACGCGTATTTTGTTAAAATCTTTTTTATTATTTTTTTTACCACTATACGTGGTTTTCATTCTTTGAAAATATAAACCTTGTATAACAATTTGAGATCTCCGGCCTATTGAACCAAAAACTTGTATAATAATACAGTATACGAGGTTTTTCATTTTCATCCTTAGAAAAGGAACATTGAACCTCGTATAATAATATATTTTACAAGGTTTTAAATCTGACTGTTTATATATGTGTTATTTAATTAGCGCTTTTTGAGTTATTTACAATCAAGCTAAGAATACGACGTTTTGATCACAAGATCCGTGCTTTTACGAGCTTTCGAACGGTACTAAAAAGTCAAAATGACCAAATATGGCATATACGAGGTTTCAAGTGGTCACCCACGATTTAATATATTTGCTCGACTTAAATGCCCTTAGTACTCCAAAGACTTTAAGTTCGGCATATATCTCATTTCAGAAATGTAGAGTGAGGAATCGAATCTCAAGTGTAGAGGGAGAACAAGGGTTTAGTAACATGCCGAAGAGGAAGTTAGACAGTGAGGGTGAAGAGAAGGAAGGGAGTGAGTCCCCACCCACCTCAGAAAGTGATGATAGCAGTAACTGTAGCAACCATACAGAAGGCAGCACAGACACACCCCATCCTATTATTTGTAAGTATATTATCATTAACAAAGGTGCTGGAGTCAGACAACACCTAACCCTTGAAACATCTATTATCTCAATAACTGTCAGGAAATTGTGAAAGAATAATTGCTTTATATTGTCGGGAAAGCAAATGTCTGATTTAATTCTGAAAATAATAATAATAATAATAATAGTAATAATTTATTTCTATAGCGCCTATAATCCAGCAAATTCTGCTCTATGGTGCTGTTGTACAATATGGCATATTACAACTCAACATAACATACATAGAAAAACAAACAAACAATGACACTTCAAGACCTATCAACCGAAGATAACATTACAAGCAATAACATGAATTAAGAATAATCCTGTATAAATAGTTCAGTTTTTAGTTGTTTTTTTACAATATGGCAAGGTGGCAATATTTCTGAGATTAGCAGGTAAATTATTCCATAGATACGGCGCAGCATATGTGAAAGCACATTTACCGGTTTTTTGAGATGGGCTCAGCTATCTCGAGAAGGTTAGATTGTCGAGAGCGTAGAAAAGAGATATGAATAGCTGATATTGATCTCAATGAACTGTCTATTCTCATAAATCTTGATTTTTAGGCCGGGATGGTAATAAACGTAAAAAGATGAAGAAATCAGTCAAGTTTGATCAAGTTAAAGTATTTTATTTTAATCGTACTCAAGGCTTTACGTGCGTTCCCAGTGAAGGTGGCTCTACCCTTGGTAAGTACGACCAATTTATTGTCATTAAAGGGATTGTTAAGAGGTTTTCTAATAGGGACACTGATGGTATATTATGTGTATCGGGGACACTGATGGTATATTATGTGTATCGGGGACACTGATACGGTACATTATGTGTATCGGGACACTGATGGTATATTATGTGTAGCTTGGACACTGATGGTATATTATGTGTATCGGGGACGCTGATGGTACATTAGGTTTATTGGGGACGCTGATGGTACTGATTTGCACCATTCCAATTTTCAGTCGGATGTCTGTGGTTTTGTCATTCCATGACTTGATGACCTCAATTTCACAAAAGCTGGTAACAATATCGAAGGACCTATTGATAGCTACATCATAAATGATTAATGATTAGGGTGGTTGAAAAGAAACCAGTTACTAGTGACAAGCAACTGGTCACTATTCAACCGAAAGCACTGGCACAGAGTTAAAGTTGTGTTTAAAAATCTTTTCATGTTGATATTAAATGAACTAAAATCTAAGAAGAAAATCATATATAGTTACCGAGTATATGATTAAGCTTATACATAGACTTTTGTTAGTGTTAGTGGAATTGCAGGAATCACTCAATCACAGACATTGGATAACAAATCAGAATGGTGCAACTCAATGCTATTTGTCCCAGATATACACATACTAAAAGTTGAGAAAGCCTCTCTACAATCTTTTTTATACGCCCACATCTCTCTATGTGGACGTATATTGTCGGCACCCCTGTCTGTCCATCGGTCTGTCAACATTTGCTTGTAAAAGCTCTAAAAACTACATTTTTTGATGGAATCAAATGAAATTTGGTATGTGTATATTTATTCATAAAACGAAGATCAAGTTCGAATTTGAGCTGTTTTTGACCGTTTGAAGCAGAGTTATTCCCCTTGCCCCAAAATCTTGAATATTCTATTACTCTCTTAGTTTTCAACTGATTTTGATGAAACTTAAAATGGATGTTATTGGACCTAAATTGAAAGGTTTAAGAAAGTTTAGTTTACTTCTGATTAAATTTAAGGCTTTTTCAAGATTTAGGCCTCTTACGTCAGTTTTGAGGAGTTATCGCCCTTTATTAACTTCTATATAGTAAGTGATTCTATCAACATCAATTGCTCGTAAACACTCTAAAAACTAGAGTGTTTGAAGTAATCAAATGAAATTCGGTATGTTCATACATATTCATGAAACAAAGGTCTGTCGATTCGACCGTTAAAAGCAGAGTTATTGCCCTTGCTCCAAAATCTTGAATATTTAAAGGGGCGTACATGGCTGTGGTCCACTATCTTTAAACATGGACTTGGATTATCAGTCAATTTTTCACAGTGGTGAACTGATTTTTGTACTAGATAATTTTATTGAACATGATTTGTTAAAGAATTTCATCAGATCATACATGCATGAGTAAATACCTTTGCTCGATCATAAAACATTAGTCTTTTTTATGTTTCTCAGGAATGGTTGGCAGCCATCATTATGACGAAAAATTTACCATTTCATCTTACGCTAAAGAGCAGAAACGTCTACATCGCATGATAGTTGAAGAGCAACGACGACAAGGAAAGGCGTATCCTAGTCCCCTTTTACAAAGTGTTCCCTCAATTGACGCTTCAGAAATCTCCTCTGGTAGTGACTCTGATAGTGATTATGATGACTGTTATTTCTTACAACCGGTTCCCATTCGGCAGCGACGTTTTTTGCTCAGGACATCCGGCGTTAAAAAAATAGACAGCGAAGAAAAAGATGAGTGTCGCGAAATTCGAGTTTCGCGGGAAGTGTGTGGGTGTGACTGTAAGGTTTTCTGCGATCCTCAAACTTGTGCATGTAGTCTTGCAGGAATCAAATGTCAAGTTGATAGACTATCCTTTCCGTGTGGTTGCAGCAAAGACGGATGTGGCAATAAAAATGGACGTATCGAATTTAATCCTATTCGCGTGCGAACTCATTTCATTCATACATTAATGCGTATTGAATTGGAGAAGAAGGACAATGAATCGTGTAAATCAAAAAAAGAAGCAACAGATCAAAATGGTGAAAATATTGAATCAAAAAGTGACGATGAAGAATCGATAGATATGTCCCAATTTAACAGTAACGAACTAGGCAGTTGTCGGGATTGTCAAAATACGGAAGTTTGCAACGCAATGATGTTGGAAGTGCAATACGCTACAATGGGCGAACAACAGCAACGAGCTAATCTTATGAATCAAAACTATTTACAAAATCCAAACAACATGGCTAACATTACCATGGCAACGCCTCCAGAAAATTTACAAAATATCATTTACAACCAAAACGAGAAAAATGGTTACCATAGCGACACTGGTCTTCATCCAATTTACGATTTTAAACAAGATGTGGCGGCTTACACTGATTGTTCACATAACACCATAGCTACCACAGACACATTTAAAACTTACAATAACGTTGGCAATGCCCTTGATAATGACCTAACCTATAAAATGTATAATAGGGCAGACAACCCAGCTGAAATTGCCACATCATACGAAGGATCACTGAATAAATTTACAGTCATCAAAGAAAATACAAACCACAAGTTTTGTCAGGTGGAGGAAAAATTTGTTCCTACGCCAGCTGATTCACAACCAAAATATGTCGATTTGAAACCTTCAACCACATCATATAAACCCATATCAAACATGTTGAATCCAATCCAATCAACAGAAGGCGGTAAACCGACTTGGAACGATCCTCCAAAAACTTATCCGGATCCGATTAGCGTGCAACCAGTTTTATCCACATATACAACAATGACCACAACCACGCGAGATCAGCTTGCTGAAAACTGTCCTGTCATCTCAAGTCACATGACTAAACTAGACACCAGCGAATCATCAACCAATGATAGTCTTTTGGATGATGACGGAACTCAACCTTTGGACCAATCAGAAAGACTTTCACTTCATTCGGAAAGTTCCATGGATAGTTGTGGGGAGGGGTTTGGTACTTACGAAAGTGTGAATTCTGAAGATCAAGACATCAAAACTGGGGACTCTGCCGAAACCTTAGAAATTGGCAAATGGAAATCGAAAGTAGGCAAACATGGTGACAAAGGTAGTCCCAATTTTGGTGAAATTATAAAAGAATCTATTGTGGAAATCGTCTCCGCGTAGTTTAGTAATTTGTGGTTTGGATACTTTTAGAAAACCACAAATGTTCGTCTTGCAATCGATCAAATGTGAAAATTGATATTTGTGTTTCTGTGATTTGTATAACTTGAGATTTTAACAAAATAATTTTGCAATACAAAATCATTTCACCAAAAATAGTGCTTGTTATTGGTGCAAATTGTTTCGCTGTTTTCATCCAATTCATATTTGACACTGTTCACTATCAAAAATATGGAACAACTATTGAAGGGAAAAAATCACTCACAGAAATTGTTTGTGTCCAATAAGCGATCTCGTTTCTTAGCCAAAGTTGACGCTGCAGAAAATAATGTATCTATAATGTATGTATATAAATGACGTTGATGTATCCAGATTTATATCGTAGAGTTTCATATTTATGTAGTTTTTGATCTTTTCTTGTCATTTTTATCAATATCATGTACTAAGACTAACCAAAATATTTGATTAACCAGTATTGTTTTTCTGGAAATTATGAAATTTATTGCCCCCTCATTTTGATATTCTGAAACTATGGAGACAGCTTTCTGCCCTTATATGGCTAACATGAAACTAGAAATCCAGATTCAATTTCACAAAATTCATCTGATTGGTCATTGGCTAGAATCGATTGACCAATCAGATGACTTGAATTTTAATTTAGGGTGCCTGCATACTAACAGTCTTGATCGCTGATTTAAAAATCGAAATGGTTGGTCTAGGAGGGTATGATTCCATATATGCGGAAGCGGTATCCATCAAATGGTCTCCGTCACGCGTGAAAAAAAATTGCTGGGTGTAACGATTTTTGACGCCTTTCCACGCGGAGATCTCCCAAATGTGACGTATTTTGTGGGGATTTTCTGTCTTTTTTATGCACCAAAGCATCCATCTGTCTAGAAGTCTGTGCGTCAAAAGAAAGATAACGCATACGTTTAACGCACATATGAAATCATATTTGACGCATGACGGATCCGCAAGGGCCATTTATGTCCGCATGACACATCCTCATGATGCGTATATGGAATCTTAGCTTTATTATGTGATTATTGCCACATTTGAAAACAATCCACTGAAGATTTTTGTCTCCTCGTGTGCACGTAGCCAAAGACTGTTTGTGTGCCCGCACCCTAATCTGAAACATATTCCATGGGAAATGTTTTTCAAGGAGAATTATATGTTATCTGTTGTTTTATTGTTGTATTAAGAGTAACCAGAATTTACCAGGTGACTTTTTTTGAACCACCTTGTACACAGGTTTATTTATTTTTAACAATTTTTGTGAAATATTTTATCGGTTTTTCTTATTGTACAAAATAGAACAAAATTTACTTCTTTTTTTGGAGAATTGTGTCATGACTAATGCTATGGTGGGTGACAAAAACTGCAGTAGAATACTTCCATAACTTACAGGGATATAGTCTACTAATTAGTAACCTAATCACTCTTTAGAATTGGAAACTTACTTCTGGATAGTCTACAATTAAATTATAAGTGAACTACATTATTCTGCAGAATTGAATTGGAAACTTACTTCTGGATAGTCTACAATTAAATTATAAGTGAACTACATTATTCTGTAGAATGGTCTATGGTCTGAACAGAAAAAATCAAGTTCTATTAGTTGATTATGTGAATAATTATAGGACTATATGCCTTAAACAACATTTTAGGACAATTTAATGTTTCTATGTTAAAAAATAGGTAGAATTCTGAAAACTGCTGAATTGTTCAATAATTGATATTTTTCAAATTATGTTTGTTATATTTGAAATTTTACCCAATAAGTTTGAAAGGAAATAGTCTAATTAAATTCAGACCAAACTTTTACTTTTTTTATATAGCCATATCAGTTAGGGTCTAAAGACGGCCTCTTTGAACATTTTGTCAGTTTGATGACACAGCCAGCCAATCAAATTCCTGCCCTCTCCGGCCCTGGGACGCAATAAAAAAGTGTGTTCAGTGTCTAATGTTCCTCAGAATGCACCGTTTGTCCCTGGAGAGAGCAGGAATTTGATTGGATTGTGGTGTCATCAAACTGACATTATGTTCAAAAAGGCCGTCTTTAGACCCTTACTGAAGTGGTTATATTAAAAAATAAAAGCTAATGAAAAACGTAACGAAAGTTTGGTCTAATTTTAATTAGACTGGAAAGGAAACTTCTAAGATGTGTTACTTTTAGAAAGAGCATCATCTTTATCTGGTTTTGAATAAATTTTTGAAGGAAATCAGAATTGTGTTAATAGAAACTTTAAGTGTTCCTTGAAACACATAATTAGGCCAGAAAATCAACTGTTTGACACAATTATGAAATCTCACTTCAAAATTGGCAGTAAGAGTTGTACCTTTTAATGGCACTTTATTGTTGTTTTGTTTATGACGGGGTACCTTGCAATGGTTAGGGTAACCAGAAATCAGATCTGCTTAAAACTGAGCTGTGATAAATTCTATTTCTTTGTTTATTGTATATTATGATCGTTTATGCCCTCTTCTGGTCCATTTTTGACAAAATTCTTGCCTCTTTTTAAAGCGACATGTGACACTAATGCTATTAAAAACTAGCAAAGCTGAGCAGTGTGTAATGGGGCTACATTAGTCAATACAGCACAAACTTTCACACCTTTAACTTATATAATTCTAACTAGTGACTTGAACAAAACTGTGAAGAATTTTGTCAAATATGGTGAAAATATATGCTTTTATGTTAATGGGAATTTTGATGCCAAAGGTAGTGAACTTACAATAAGAATCTCTTAGTTACATACGAAACTGTGTATGGTTCTTGCATGGAAATGACACACAGGATCCTAGTTCGCAGACATTTTGAATCACTACTCGCCTTAATAAGTGTAATAAGGCAAAGGTTATGATATTTCATATCACATTTAAAGAAGGGTTCCCTTATTTTTATTTATGAAAATGAAAATGCTAATACTTATATGAATAGAAAGTAGAGGTGTTCTAATGACTTGGAAAAATACCAGTTTGTCTCACATGTCCATAATTAATTCATAATTAGCTAAATTAGAAGAGAATTACCAGCAGAATTCCAATGAGTGACCGATCAAGAAAGGTCAAAAAGTCTTTTTTTGTTCATCCAGACTGTGAAAACATGGACATTTATAATTGGTTAAAACTCTTAATTATATGCAATAAGAACATAAATACATGATAATTCATTAATTAGAAACACCAATTAATCAAATAGTTTGCTTAATTTGACTCTAAGAAATAAGGAAACCCATCTTTAAAGGTTTAGAAATGGCTTTAAATATGATTTGAAGGCTCAGTTTAAATATTAAAGCCCTTTTAAAAATTAGACTTATTTAGTTGAGGTGGTGTTTCAAAATGGCTGTTATTTCCATGTAAGAACCATATGTAGTTTTGTATGTTTAGTTATAGACATATCAGTTTTATTTTATATCTTTTAGATGTCATCCACATTGTAGAAAATATCATCATTATATTACTCAAAAATAGGCTTATTCAGTTTTCGTTGTTGAAATTTATGAAAAAATCATCTCCATGTAGGTTGCTTTAAAAAAAAAGGTCATAGCTAGTAAGTAATTATCCAAAATGTGGCATAAGGAACTGAGCAAAAAGACTCATAGTTCTCATACAATTAAAACAAAATGCACCAATGAAATCGCAATTTACTACACAATGTACCTTTTGATATTCAAATTTTTAAGAAGCTTCTATATAAGGTTCTAGTCAAACTTGTAAGGAAATTGTGTGTACATAATGTAACTCCTGAAATCAAAGTTTTTAACAAATTTACTATTTGTGCAATTATGTTTCTTTTCTTTTAGAATTTACTCCCAAAAGCAATGGTTGTGCATCAAAATTAAATTTGCAATACTAACTGATCAAAATAATCGTAATCATGAAAATTGGAATTTTATATATGAATTGATTTGCTAGGATGAAATAGAGTCTTGCTTTTTACACCAGCAAACAATGTATCCCTTTCAGTAAAGCACATTAATTAAATGAATGTATCCCTTTAATTTTTAAGTGAATTTTGTTTTAGAACTCATGTTAATGTATTTAATTGTTTTAGATAAAACACTTCCATGAGAATACATAATATTTTAAATAAATTTTACATAAAAAGCAATTTAATAAAATTTTCAGCAATCTGATTAAAATACAGCTCTAGATATTTCATTGTCAATCTAATTAAATACAGCTCTAGATATATCATATTGTCAATCTAATTAAATACAGCTCTAGATATTTCATTGTCAATCTAATCAAAATACAGCTCTAGATATATCATTGTCAATCTAATTAAATACAGCTCTAGATATTTCATATTGTCAATCTAATTAAAATACAGCTCTAGATATTTCATTGTCAATCTAATTAAATACAGCTCTAGATATTTCATTGTCAATCTAATTAAATACAGCTCTAGATATTTCATTGTCAATCTAATTAAAATACAGCTCTAGATATTTCATTGTCAGTCTAATTAAATACAGCTCTAGATATTTCATTGTCAATCTAATTAAAATACAGCTCTAGATATTTCATATTGTCAATCTAATTAAAATACAGCTCTAGATATTTCATTGTCAATCTAATTAAAATACAGCTCTAGATATTTCATTGTCAATCTAATTAAATACAGCTCTAGATATTTCATTGTCAATCTAATTAAAATACAGCTCTAGATATTTCATTGTCAATCTAATTAAAATACAGCTCTAGATATTTCATATTGTCAGTCTAATTAAAATTAATTAATACAGCTCTAGATATTTCATTGTCAATCTAATTAAAATACAGCTCTAGATATTTCATTGTCAATCTAATTAAAATACAGCTCTAGATATTTCATTGTCAATCTAGTTAAAATACAGCTCTAGATAATTCATTGTCAATCTAATTAAATACAGCTCTAGATATTTCATTGTCAATCTAATTAAAATACAGCTCTAGATAATTCATTGTCAATCTAATTAAATACAACGCTAGATATTTTATTGTCAATCTAATTGAAATACAGCTCTAGATATTGTCAATCTAATTAAATACAGCTCTAGATATTTCATTGTCAATCTAATTAAATACAGCTCTAGATATTTCATTGTCAATCTAATTAAATACAGCTCTAGATATGTTTTTTTTTATTTCTTTTACATGGGTTATTTCAGCCATTTGATAACATTCATCAAATTGGTGAGAATGTCCATGGAATATGAATGAAACAAAATATTCTGAGTTCTATTATATTTAATTGAAAATTCAGCCATGACCTAAATGTTAAAAGTGTTTCTAAATTAAACTAGATCTAGGGCATATCAACTATTATTTGGAAAGCTGTTTCATACTAGAGTTGAAGTCAATGAATTATTAGGTAAAAATCAGTGTTTATATATATATTTCTATATATTTATCTATATTGTAGTTGTTGTGAAGAAAAAAAACCTATATGTTTTTAACTTACAGTAGTTCAGTATCGCTCTGTATTTATAACATGTCTTAGACAGTAAAGGGCATGAAAAGGACTTGGCTTTCTATTTTGTTATGTGTACATGAATTAAGGGTATATTGTTATTGTCTGTCCATCTCATCAAAAGTTTTCATAAACAATCTAGTTTACAGTTCCTTGACAGATTTGGATGAAATGATGTAACTTAACGCAAAATATGCTTTATCACATGAGGCCCTTCATGATTAGTGATGTCAGCAAACACTTGGTTTTAGTTGAGTTGCAGGAATCACAGACATCTCATCGAAATTTGGAATGGTGAAAATTGATGCTATCAGTGTCCCTCTTTGAAATTGTTTTAAGAAGAGGCACAGCTCTTGATGAAACTTGACATATCCTTCACCTTATTGTGTCGAAGTATTTCGTACCCTGTAAATGTCCTACTATACTACGCATACATGTGTAATCTACCAATGTTGTCGGGTTTCTACCGCTTTTGCATGTTGTCTACCACTCTACCGGCGGGATACCTAATTCTACCGATTTTTTGGGGGGTTTTTTGATCAAATTTTCACGGGGCCTACATTTTTCAATGTCTAAATTCTCTACCATAAATCAACAAAATATCTATCATTACTTGTATCTTAATTGTCGGTAACACACGTTAATCTCGTCACGTAATAATATTATCAGTGCCTGATTAATTAATCCCCCAATTAAGATAGTAATTTGATCTATTTTCACCCGATAATGTGTATTTTAAGCCCACAGACACTTTTTATAACAACATCCGGTAGATTCAACTTTCGCTTTTACAATAAATTTTACGTAGTACGTAAAGAAATCGGTCCAGTTATGTAGTAAAAAAATTCAAACAAAATATTTAATTTAATAACAAAAGATTTAACAAAATATGCTACACAAATTAAAATAATTCACTGGACTTATTGCGCGCCAAGAGAATATTTTTCTTGAAAATGCAATTGTGGTTCTACTAAAACAAATAATCTTGGGTTATCACAGTAAACATGTTCGAAACCAAGCTCATATCTCTGAAACTAAACACACATAGAATCTGCCATTGCTGGTTGGCACCAACGAAAATTTGTTCCTGTCACAAACATTGGAAAGGAAATTTTGTTTTTAATTTTCCGGAAGTTAAAAATTTTTCTCCACAATTCTCAGACCTTTTTTTTTATTTCAATTTTTCCATTTTCATTTTCAAAGAAAAATTTATCTCCATTTTGGATTTTTTTTTGTCTAAAAACTCTTGAATTTTCATCTATACACCCCCATTATCAAGATTTGTGTTTAAGAAGTTTTCTGTTGGCTGGGTGAGTGTAGGCTAGAAATATTGGTAGATGAAGTAACAAAGACACACTGGATTCTGGAATTAAAAAAAAACAACCATTCTACATATAACTTCATGAATTCTGTCTATAAGCTGTTGAACAACCATTTGGACAGAGCAAAAGGCAATGAGATAGCAACTCTCTAGTCAACACAGCTACAGTCTATCCTCAAATTATCGGTAAGCAGTCAATTGGGCACAAGCCAATTAGACACAGTATTTTAGCACATTTGGGCACAGGTCATATAAGCACACCTATAAGCCTTAAGCACATATTCACTTAAGCACACACTTTTAAGGAAAACTAATATTCGGCGATTTTTATGTAGTGACACAATGTTACCTTTTCAAGATTTGCATTATGAGCCTCTTTCTGGATTCAATATGGCTGACATGTGGAGTTAAGTCAACTAATAACAGTCAACAAGTTTTAGCGAGGAGCTAAGATTTTAAAATGGAAATCCAACGTACCATCAATTTTGTGACTGACATCAACCCACTGTCGTAAGTATTTTAATTTTTCTTCTCTGTTTAAACCCATTGGATTAACTCCCCTGGCGTAGCAGGCCTGAAATTGAAACTAAATACATTCAACTAAAAGTTGTGGATATAATCTTAATCTGTATCAAGATTTTCCAAACTTGTTCAGACAATAAAATTTTTTTTTTGTAAAGAATATGTCACCTCAGATTTCCAAAATTAAATTATTGAAGAGAATTACTACCTAGAATTGACACGTCTAAAACTGGGTCAAATATTCATCAGTTGGACTTACCAGGTGCCATGACTAAAGAATAGAATCAACCAACTAAGTAATTATTGCAATTCTAAGCATGTCTCAAAATTACTTAGTTTAATGAATTATTACTTAGTTTTATAGATTTATTAGATTATAGAGAGATTCTGTTGTATAGTTATGACACCAGTAAGTCCACTGATGAACAAAGACTCATTTGAGTAAAAAATTCAATTTTTTTGGTTATCCTAAGAGGTACTAATACTTTAACCAATGAGAATCAAATTGAATTTCGAATTCTTCACCAAAAGGCTTATGTATCCACCTGTAATGACGAGGGCCGTATAATTTATACAATGCTGCCACCTACCCTTTCAATTTCTTCATCTTTTAAAGTGAGAAGTCCCTCTCTTCTCATAGCTCTATCTATATTGAGGAATATTAGACTGTCATGTTTAAGCTTGCTGCTTCGTACAGATAGGTCTAGACACTTGGCTAAATGACGCTGAAATATTTAGTTTTGGTATCAAGAGCAACATATCTTTGTAGCATGATTCAAGTTCTGTTTTAATATTTTTACAGTTGAGTAACCTAATTCGTACACGTCCAAAAATAATTAATAATTAATATGTGCGACCTTGCGTGACCTCCAACAAACCTATTTGAATTATTTTGTAGAATTTCTAAGACAACATCTAAGACATAAAAAAAAAAATTTCTGTTTTTTTAATTTATGCACGAAAATAGGTTACACCACTGTATAAATGTATCTATACTGTTTTGGATATCAAATCCTCCCCACCCTTCTTTAACAAGAAAATTGCTGTCTGCTTTCCAACTGTTTTCAATGGTGCACAGAAGTAGGACGTAAAACTCCATTCATTTCATTTACAACTGTTTTCAAACCTTTTCAAAAAAGGAGGCTAGTTAAACAAATTACTGCTGATGATCTGTACCAAGTTTTTCCAACTCTAGCTAGCTGACATCTGTCTATGTAAAGAATTAAGCATCCTTATAATCTTACTGTGTAAGCCAGAATCATTAAAACTAGTTTTTTCCACTTAAGCAAACTGACATTTGTCAAAATAAAGCCTTAAGAGTAAAATTTGTAGCTTGTTTTTCCCACTTTAGCCAACTGACAAAGTGACAATAGAGGCTATGTAAGCTCTTGTGAAATATGGAGCTATTTTTTCAACTCTAGCTAGCCGACAACTGTCAAAATTGACTCACTGTATAAGCCAATGATAATTTGTCGAGGTTGTAAGGTTTACCATTAAACAGAGGCTGAATTTCTAAAATCTTCTCTCCATTTTGGAACTGTTTCATTTTGATCTGCATTTTGAAATAAAAAAGAGAAAAAAACATGTACAAAAAGAAATCCTATTTTTTTTGCATTAACTAAACTTATTTAACTGGTTGGAGGCACCAAAAAATATTGACTTATTGACTGATATTTTGTTCCATTTGAAGAGAACCATATATCAGTTTTAAATTTTGAAAAGTGATACAAATGCTTTTCAGAATACATCTTTTGTTTGCGTCATGAAAAACTGAGTCAAAGTTTGATCTAATTCTTACCTCTTGCACCATGTGCCTTACTCTCTCTTGAAGATTTTTATCTTCAATGTGTTTACTATAAGAATTGAAGAATTTTAAGATATCAGGACAATGAGCTAACTGTTTCTTTAAGTCCTGATTATAGAATTCTTCCTTCTGTTTCCGTGTCCAGAAATGGTGGGACAATAGATACCTCGGAAACATATACCTAGAATTCCAAATAAATATCATTAGCTATGTAGACTCTCTCAAGCAGAAACTGAGTTCAAAAACCTACATGTTACATTCAAGAGTATTGGCTATGTGGACTAGGGATGTTGATTTGATAAACTTATACTCAAACAATACACAAACAATCAATATATTTAACATTGTGGACTCTCTGAAGGAAGTATACAACCAGGGGTACCATATAAACATTATTAGCTACATGGACTCATTCAAGGGATGTTGATTCGATAAACTTATCCACAATCAATCAATATATTTAACATTGTGGACTCTCTGAAGGAAGTATACAACCAGGGGTACCATATAAACATTATTACTCTCTGGCCACTTTGAGTTCTAAATTGAATTTTTTTTTTCTCTCATGTCACAAATATTCAAAATATGATTTTCAAGTGCATACCAATTGTCTTAGAATACCTTTGGGTCCATGAATATATAAGTTTTGAAAATTTTGCACTTGAAATGAACACATTTCTCTCCAAGAAATTTCATGTGAAAATGACACACATTTTGAACTGAAAATCTCCCTCTGTAAAATCATAGTTTAAAATAATTTTGTTTTATGGTTGGCATTTTCATCAACCCAAAGACAATCTAAGAATCTCAGCAATATTTGGAGATTACTATTTCAAAAATGATAGCCAAAATGTGATTTAGAACTTGATGTGGCCAGAGAGTAGCTACGTGGACTCATTCAAGGGATGTTGATTTGATAAATCTCTACTCTCTTTGAAAGCCATGTGGACCACCAAGGAGTAGCCAAGCTGCCAAACCCAAAAAGCAACTTAATATTAGCTATACAGACTCCCTAAGAGGGACACCTAATGTACAAACCTAGTCACAGAATTTAAATCTGCTTGGTTTGAATTGATATAAAAATCCACTTACGCAATGGGTAGAATACTAGCTCCCATTGGTATTAAACCAGTAAATATCAGCAATGGTGTCAAACGCCATATATCTTTCCTCAATTGACTATATATCACTAACTCTGAATGTGAAAACTGTCCGACCTTTTTACCTCCCCATAATTCAAATAATACACGAAAATATACCTTCGTATCAGAAAAAAAATCTGATGTTCCTGAAAAAATACAAAAAAATATTTTATTGCTGAGCTGATATAATAAACCTTTTGGGGTTATTAAAAATATAAACAAAAGGCCTAATGGAAAAGAATTCTAGCAGCACCAAAACTTATGGTACTGGTAATTTTTGTTGCCAACAAGGGTTTCAGCTACCAGCTGTGAGCGCAGGAGGAGACAAAAAAACTTGCAGATCATGCAATTGAAAGGAAAATGAATCTGATAAGATGATGACACTCTTTCATGCAGACGATAAAACAATATGCTACAAATTTCGGACTGGTTTGATATTATAATTCCTGTTGACAACTACAATCTTGTCGTGGAAAAAAGGGCACACGTGAGATTTAACTCGGGATGCTCGTTGGAGACAAAAATCTGCAACAAAGACTGTTTGTGTGCCCTCAAAGTCACTATAATACATTGGGAGAAAGAATTTAGTCACAAATTCAGTTTTTATGAAGCCTGTGCACACTATCTGATGATGACAGGCAATAGATATTTGCATACCAGTTTTCAATGTGTGGTAGACATTAAAAGCCTTTGGAAATTTATTTGATGCTGTTTTCTCAGAGCTTTGTATTAATGACTTGATTTTATCAACAAAATATCTTGTCACTTTTCCTGGTGGCTGAATCACATCTTTCGGTTTTTCGATTTTATTGGAATAATATCTGGAAAAGAAATGCCAACATAAGCATTATTAGCTGTGTGGACTCTCTTAATAATGAGATGTTAAGCCTAGAAAATAATTCGACTGGTACCTATATGCTGTATTACTGCCACTGTAAGCTTAATAATAAATAAAACAGAGTTTAGTCGATACACTTTCAGATTAATTGGGTTCAAACATTTTGTGGTCTGAATTGATTACTGACAGAGAGAGGTTTTCTCCCCTTAAACCGACTTTTTAATTTTCAACTATCACATTCGATCTGACCCTTAAAACGACAACTAGTTACATGGGAAAATCAATTTGTGCTAGATATTAAATATTTACCTGCAAACCGTTGTGTTTTTCGGAAAGAAATAGACTTTAGAACTATTGGTGCAGCAACAGAAATATCGAATGCTGGGCGCAGCCATTTTGTTTGGATACAAATTTGTTATTGAATATAAAACTGAAACGAAATGAGGTAAAATGACAGTCAAGTTCAAATATCCCTGATGATGCAACAAATTGAATGCTTGAATTTATGAAGGTTGGCCTAATGATTGGATTTCTTAATATGATAAAATATTTCGTTTTGGCATAATCCTTTTTATGCAGACCAAGGAAAGATAACTCTTTATCAAAGAAAATAAAGATAACTCTGAGCAGAAAAGTTATTGCGTTGAAAACTTGAAATGAAAGAGCAGCGTCTATTTAACAGTTTATTTAACATATTGAGGCGTACTCCGTACACATGCTCATGTCGCACATATTCAACTCATGAAAATCCTTTCGGAATAAAGGTGTCACGCTTTATTTATTTATCTTTTTTTTGTTTGAACAATTTGAACAATGTATGCGGCAGGGTGTTCTTCAGAATAATCCAGACCACAGTTAAATAGCTATGGCTTGTTTCCTTAGGGATGATTTATAATAATATTCATGTTAAAGTGATACTACATCTTAGAATAAACATAAAATTTTAAAAATTTAAACTTGGCCAATAAGAGCACATATTTATCAGATATATGATAAAGCGTTTTTCAATAATTACTTAGTTTTATGAATTTTCCAATTTTCTAGATTTTACAGGGATTTTGTTGTAACTTTATGACACCAGGTAAGTTCTCTGATGAATATATACTCATATTGACCATTCTTAAGAATTAAATTTTATGTTCATTCTAAGACGTAGTATCACTTTAAAGGGGCAACACATGAACATTTCAGGGAAGCAGAATGAGAACGGGTGGGATTTAGATGCATTCTCTTTTATTAATCCAACTGACAAATAAAATTAAACCTTAAGCTTTAGAATTACTTTATAACCAAAAATATATGGACTGTCTGTAGGCTACAATACACACCAAGTACTCTCTTTTGTCCAAAGTTATAAAAATTGACATTTTATTTAAGGATAAGCCACCCACAGGCGAAGTTAGAGTTCGAGGCCTGCCACAGAAGTTAGAAATAGCAGGCGTGAATCATGTTATATTGGTGGCTTCAGGAAAAGGTGGAGTGGGCAAATCAACTACAGCAGGTAACTTCCCTTTTAATTCCGAACTTCCCTTTTAATTTTGTTAAGCGATATAGATAGCTTTTATAGAGCTTTATCAACTGTCAAAGTAAATAGGGGTATTAAGATAACTATATAGAAAGCTGAAATTGAGCTCTCTTTGCTGGTAATTCAATTAATAAGATGACTATATAGATAGCTGAAATTGAGCTCTTTCAGCTGATAAAGTCAATTATGTAGATGACCATACATATAGCTAAAATTGAGCTCTTTCAGATGGTAAAGTCAATTATTAAGATAACTATATAGAAAGCTGAAATTGAGCTCTCTTTGCTGGTATAGTCAATTATTAAGATGACTATATAGATAGCTGAAATTGAGCTCTTTCAGCTGATAAAGTCAATTATGTAGATGACCATACATATAGCTAAAATTGAGCTCTTTCAGATGGTAAAGTCAATTATTAAGATAACTATATAGAAAGCTGAAATTGAGCTCTCTTTTCTGGTATAGTCAATTATTAAGATGACTATATAGATAGCTGAAATTGAGCTCTTTCAGCTGATAAAGTCAATTATGTAGATGACCATACATATAGCTAAAATTGAGCTCTTTCAGATGGTAAAGTCAATTATTAAGATAACTATATAGATAGCTGAAATTGAGCTCTCTTTGCTGGTAAAGTCAATATTTGGATGACTATATTAATAGCTTAAATTGAGCTCTCTTTGCTGGTAAAGTCAATATTTGGATGACTATATTAATAGCTAAAATTGAGCTCTATCAGCTGGTCGAGTCAATATCTAAAAAAAACTATACAGATAACTGAAATTGAGCTCTATCAGCTGTGTATTGACCTGACCATAAATCTGTTTTGTATTTCAGTGAATTTGGCTCTAGCTCTACAGTCCAATGAACAGGTAACTATAAGTTTTATTAAACACAGATTCATAACCTATGCAGCCTTTTCTTTTACCATTTTCTGGCCATTTTCTGTCTCTGTAGAGCATCTGTGGACCACAAACAGTGTTGGGGTTGGGCCCCCTCTCCTGGATTTTTTTTTGTAACATCCTCAATGACCCTTCTGTAGGTCAATTTAATGCCTGTTAATGGAAGTTTAAAGATGTTCAGTCTGTAGTTGATGCTGTTTCACCCATGTATATATTACTGGTTGCTTAGTTTGATTCTGATTTTATTCTTTGATACATCTTTTAATTTTTTTTTTTTTCTGGGTTGAGGGCCTCGTATAGGCCCTGTTGACATGGTTCGACCAGTTCATATGGTAGTTTAGCCACTTATCACAAAATTAAATACAAATCCGTGGATTGAAATTTCAAGTTTTCATTGATGAACTTGGGATTGTTCTTTACAGACATTTCAGCCTGCTTTTGCCTCTGTGCATTCATTTCATATTTTTTCATTTGTCAGGATAAAAAAGTTGGACTACTGGATGCTGATGTTTATGGTCCGTCCCTACCTACAATGATGAATTTACATGGTGAACCAACCCTTGATTCAAGTATGTACATCTTTTTAACTAGGAATACTGAATTCAGCAGCTGAATTTTAGTACGAGAGAAGCAAACTGAAAAGTGTCTAGTTGTACAATAATGTGAGACGCCATGTGCTATAGACTGTGCACGTTATAAAGATTAAGAGACAGTTTGAAGTAAAGAATTTCACTCAATATACACTGCATTGCTTGTCCATAATAATCAAATAAGTAACAAATGAAAATGGGAAATCTTGCCAAATTTTATAATTGTTTGTTCGTTTAAGTGGCTCTATCAATTTATTTTCAGAAAATTTAATGGTACCATTGATGAACTATGGTATAAAATGGTGAGCAATTTCATTTTTATAAGCCCACAATTAAAGAATGAATGTGGATCTTGTTATCGTTATGGGGAAATAAAAACTGGTTTATCATGTGACAAGACGTACATGACACGCTTCGCCGGGTAATTTGTCTTGTCACATGATAAACCAGCGTTTATTTCCCCATAACGATAACAAGATCCACATTCATTCCTTATATTTACATTGGTTTATCTTTTCTGATAAAATCGACAATATGTTCTATTTTTTAATTGTAAAAATACCCTAAACCGTTGTTGCTTATTTCACCTTATCTGTCAATCAAGTTAACGGCCCCGCCCCTCCCTTTCAAAATCGCTTTCCAACTCTAGGTAAAATACTTGGGTCAATCCTTGTTTTAGTTTTCGATGTATTCATATGCCTTATTGTCACGTGACAAACTACAGTTATTGAAAAATAAACACCGGTTTGGCTAACTGGTTTATTGAAGGGAGTGATAGTAGAAATGTTAATATTCTCACATGATCAATATAAACATTGATTGTTAAACACAAGATTTAGTCATAATTTCTGTTTTTATGAAGCTAGCACACTCTCTCTCACTCTTTAAATTTCAGTATGTCAATGGGGTTTTTAGTTGATGAAACTTCGGCTGTAGTTTGGCGAGGTTTGATGGTTATGTCAGCTATACAGAAATTGTTAAGACAGGTTGGTAATTTGTATTGAGTATTAAGTTTGTTTAGAATGAATGATATGCCCAGATGTTGAAACTAAAACTAAGTGTTTAGAAAGTCTCTTTACAATCCCGTTAATAACTGTCTGTATATTTTAGTGTCTATCTGGTGATAGATAGGGACTTTCTGTGCATTGCAGTGTCTATCTAGTGTTAGATAAGGACTTTCTGTATATTTGATACTGATAGATAAGGACTTTCTGTATATTAGATACTGATAGATAAAGACTTTCTGTATATTTGATACTGATAGACAAGGACTTTCTGTATATTAGATACTGATAGATAAAGACTTTCTGTATATTTGATACTGATAGACAAGGACTTTCTGTATATTTGATACTGATAGATAAGGACTTTCTGTATATTTGATACTGATAGATAAATACTTTCTGTATATTTGATATTGATAGATAAGGACTTTCTGTATATTTGATACTGATAGATAAGGACTTTCTGTATATTTGATACTGATAGATAAATACTTTCTGTATATTTGATACTGATAGATAAGGACTTTCTGTATATTTGATATTGATAGATAAGGACTTTCTGTATATTTGATACTGATAGATAAGGACTTTCTGTATATTTGATACTGATAGATAAATACTTTCTGTATATTTGATACTGATAGATAAGGACTTTCTGTATATTTGATATTGATAGATAAGGACTTTCTATATATTTGATACTGATAGATAAGGACTTTTTGTATATTTGATACTGATAGATAAGGACTTTCTGTATATTTGATATTGATAGATAAGGACTTTCTGTATATTTGATACTGATAGATAAGGACTTTCTGTATATTTGATATTGATAGACAAGGACTTTCTGTATATTTGATATTGATAGATAAAGACTTTCTGTATATTTGATACTGATAGACAAGGACTTTCTGTATATTTGATATTGATAGATAAGGACTTTCTGTATATTTGATATTGATAGATAAGGACTTTCTGTATATTTGATACTGATAGATAAGGACTTTTTGTATATTTGATACTGATAGATAAAGACTTTCTGTATATTTGATATTGATAGATAAGGACTTTCTGTATATTTGATACTGATAGATAAAGACTTTCTGTATATTTGATATTGATAGATAAGGACTTTCTGTATATTTGATACTGATAGATAAAGACTTTCTGTATATTTGATAGTTTTAGATAAGGACCTCTGTATATTTGATAGTGTTAGTTAGGGACTTTCTGTATATTTGATACTGATAGATAAGGACTTTCTGTATATTTGATTGTGTTAGATAGGGACTTTCTGTATATTTGAAAGTGTTAGATAAGGACTTTCTGTATATTTGAAAGTGTTAGATAAGGACTTTCTGTATATTTGATATTGATAGATAAATACTTTCTGTATATTTGAAAGTGTTAGATAAGGACTTTCTGTATATTTGAAAGTGTTAGATAAGGACTTTCTGTATATTTGAAAGTGTTAGATAAGGACTTTCTGTATATTTGATACTGATAGATAAGGACTTTCTGTATATTTGAAAGTGTTAGATAAGGACTTTTTGTATATTTAATATTGATAGATAAGGACTTTCTGTATATTGTAGGTAGCATGGGGTCCTCTAGACTATTTAGTGGTTGATATGCCTCCAGGAACAGGAGATACACAACTTTCTATATCTCAGAATATACCAGTATCAGGTAAGTTCCAAGACATCACTGTGGCATTTGGCATTCAAGTCAAGCGGTGCCATTATCTGTTTTTTTCTGAAATAACAGGAGCCAGGAATTGTGTAAATAGAAGCAATCTTGATGTCTAGCTTGTGCCTACCTTGTTAAAGGGAGACAAAAGTGTTTTTCTAGCCTTTGTATGTGTATCAGAGACACTTATAGCTTCTATTTACACCTTTCTGATTTTCTAGTCTTTATATGTGTATCAGAGACACTTAAAGCTTCTATTTACACGATTCTGATTTTCTAGTCTTTGTATGTGTATCAGAGACACTTATAGCTTCTATTTACACCATTCTGATTTTCTCTTCTCTGTATGTGTAACATTGGCTATACTTGATTTTGACTGTTTTTAGGAGCTGTTATAGTGACCACCCCCCAGGATGTGGCGTTAGCAGATGCTAGAAGAGGGGCAGAGATGTTCAAAAAGGTGAACATCCCTTTACTTGGCATAGTCCAGAACATGTCGGTCTTCGTGTGCAGTAATTGTGGTCATCACGAGCATATTTTTGGTCATGATGGAGCTTTGGCTGTAGCTCAAGACATCCAGACAGAAATTTTAGGTAATTTTAGATATTTTTGCACATTAGTCATGTCTTTATAAAGCAAAATGTTTCAAAGCATTTGTAGAAATTTGTTGTTTTCTACTAAAAGAGTGTTTGTTTGTTTTCATGGTTTGAATCATCTTTGGAGGCAGGGCCGGGTGATATTGCTTAAAGTGGATATCACAATATGAAGCATAAAAATATCACAATATTTATGAAGTATGGTTTTAACTGTTTTTTTGGAACCACATGATGTTTTTTTTTTTCTATCTTAAAATTTCTAATGTAAGAAAAAAACAATAAATATTTCTAAAAAAAACAAAAAAAACATCCCAGTCTTGAATATCATAAAGATAAAGAGTTTTTCTATTTAATATTTTGTAGATATTCGACTATATATCATGATAACTACCATATATCATGATATGATGATAATTCCACATTATATTTTAATAAGGCGATATTACTAACAATATGAATTCCTATACTGGTATTTATCATAATACAGGTATATCGCCTAGTCCTACAGGGATTTGTGTAAATGTCTTTGTTACATATTTATTTACCGGTATTTATTTACGTTCAATTCATCCATCTTAAAATCTCAAGGGTTGTGAGTCATTTTCAACCTTTAACCTTTGATACAGACAAATATTTTAATTACTTTAACATTTGTTGATTTTAATGAATGAATCTTGAATTATTGAACTATGATTGCAATAAGCCACGCCCCTTTTCCAATAAAAATAAAGGACTGTGATTCACTTTCAATAAGGCAGTGCATTTAAATCAATAAAGGCGAACTTGGGTTGGGTATTGATTACCAAATTGCGAATGATTATTGATGGCATAATACCGATCAATAATCAATTAATAATCGAAATATTTTAAGGGAGAAATCTTCCAAATACTAAATAAAAATCATGGGTTTTATTATGCGTCATAGAAGTATTATTATTGTTTTGATCGGTTGTTATCGTTTAATGTGGGTAAGTGATGTGCTGAAGGGAAACTATGTGCAAGAATGACCAGTTATCAGGTACACAGGAGAAAATATGAGGTTGTACGGAGCCCCTTAGATGCAATTTTCCGTACTTTTATAAAATATTTCGTTATTTCGTTTTATCGAATAACTTCTTTCGTTTAAATGAATTAATTATTTCGTAATATTTCATAAAAGTACGGAAAATTGCACCTTACGGGCTCCTTAACCTTGACATTTTTAATCAATTATGTATTTCAATTTTCAAAAGGCTAAAGAAATTTAAAAGTTAAAGTGATACTACGTCTTAGAATTAACATAAAATTGAAGATTTTTAAACTTGGCCAATAAGAGCCAGTAGATATACCTGGTGTCATAAATAACATAACAGGATCCTTATATAATCCGATAAATCCAAAAAACTTAATAATTATCCATAAATATGCAATTAACTATTGAAAAACGTTTAATATTAAGATTAAGCGTTTTTCAATAATTACTTAGTTATATGAATTTTCCAATTTTCTAGATTTTACAGGGATTCTGTTGTAACTTTATGACACCAGGTAAGTTCACTGATGAATATATACTCATATTGACCATTTCGAGAACTTAAGTTTTATGTTCATTCTAAGACGTAGTTTCACTTTAAAAAACATAGGCAATATATAACAACAAGATAAGAGTAAAAATATTGTGATTAAAAATTAGCAAGCATGACACGGCAGATAGATGTTTGACTTGATTATTTGTCAAAGTTCCACAGAGTAAGCAATTGATCAGGGGGTTTTAAAGGAATGCTACCTCTTAGAATGGTCATAAAATTTAAATGCTCAAACTTGCTCAATAAGTGTTTATTTTCATCAGTTGGATTTACCTAGTACCATGACTAAAGAATAGAATCTCTATATAACACGATATATCCATTAAACTAATGAACTATTGAAAAACGTTTCTAAGCATGTTTCAAGATTACTTAGTTTAATGCATGATTACTTAGTTTAATGCATGATTACTTAGTTTTATGGATTATAGAGAGATTCTGTTGTATAGTTTTGACAACATGTAAGTCCACTGATGAACAAAGACTTATTTTGACCAAGTTTAACAAGTAGACAGGTTGATAAGTTTCTATCTACTAGAAAGTAGAATATAGAAAATCTATTATTGATAATATCAAATTTATTTCAATCACCTTTAATATAAATTGAACCATGTAACATTAATAAGCGCCCACATTGAACTGTGAATATATATTGTCTCCATGGGCCCTGCTAGTCCATCCAGCTGTCCATATTTTATGTACACACTTAGGTTGAGTTGAATAGAACCTTAGTGTGGATGTATATTGATGAGATCTCACTCACTTCAGATTTACTCCATTTCATTTCAATACTGTACAGAACAGTTGGATAAAAAACTCCATTTCATTTCATTATTGTACAGAACATTAGGATATAAAACTCCATTTCATTTCATTAATGTACAGAACATTATGATATAAAACACCATTTCATTTCATTAGTTCAATAAGATACAGAACATTAGGATATAAAACACCATTTCATTTCATTAATGTACAGACATTTGGATATAAAACTCCAATTCATTTCATTAATGTACAGAACATTAGGATATAAAACATCATTTCATTTCATTAATGTACAGAACATTGGGATAGAAAACTCCATTTCATTTCATTAATGTACAGAACATTAGGATATAAAACATCATTTCATTTCATTAATGTACAGAACATTAGGATATAAAACTCCATTTCATTTCATTAATGTACAGAACATTAGGATATAAAACTCCATTTCATTTCATTAATGTACAGAACATTAGGATATAAAACACCATTTCATTTCATTAGTTCAATAAGATACAGAACATTAGGATATAAAACTCCATTTCATTTCACTAGTCTAATAAGATACAGAATAGTAGGATATAAAACACCATTTCATTTCATTAGTTCAATAAGATACAGAACAGTAGGATATAAAACATATTTAATTTGATGTATTTTTTAGGTGATGTGCCTTTAACCAAGTCCATAAGAATAAGCTGTGATGAAGGGGCCCCTATTGTTATATCCCAACCAGACAGCCCACAGGCATTGGTGTATAAAGACATAGCTAGAAAAATATGTGGCAAGCTTTGCAGTTGATTGTTCACAGGCATTTGTTAATAATGAAAACAGAAAGAAATTGGCATTAGAAATTTGTTATAATCCACAGGCATTGGTTTATAATGAAATGAGTGGAAAGAATTGACAATGGAAATCTTTATTAGTCCTTAGACTTGGTTTTTTTTTATGAAAGTAGAAACTGGATAGAGCAAATTATGCTCTATCAGCTGTTAAAGTAGATATTGAGATACAGCTGAAATCAAGCTCTATCAGCTGTTAAAGTAGATATTAAGATACAGCTGAAATTAAGTTCTATCAGTTGTTAAAGTAGATATTGAGATACAGCTGAAACCAAGCTCTATCAGCTGTTAAAGTAGATATTGAGATACAGCTGAAATTAAGTTCTATCAGCTGTTAAAGTAGATATTGAGATACAGCTGAAATCAAGCTCTATCAGCTGTTAAAGTAGATATTGAGATACAGCTGAAATTAAGTTCTATCAGCTGTTAAAGTAGATATTAAGATACAGCTGAGAGTGAATAACTAGATGTCTTTACAGAAAGCTTGAATTGAGCTTTATCAGTTGTAAAGTAAATATTTAGATCACTATACAGATAGCTGAAATTGGGCTTCATCAGATGGTTAAGTATATATTTAGACGAGTAAACAGACAGCTTAAATAGTTTTGTCGCCTAGTGAAGTCAGTATTAAGATGACTATACGAATGAACATAAAATTTAATTCTCAAGAATGGTCAATATGAGTATATATTCATCAGTGAACTTACCTGGTGTCATAAAGTTACAACAGAATCCCTGGAAAATTGGAAAATTCATAAAACTAAGTCATTATTGAAAAATGCTTAATCATAATATTAAGCGTTTTTCAATAGTTTATTGCATTTTTATTAAGTTTTTTTGGATTTATCGGATTATATAAGGATCCTGTTATGTTATTTATGACACCAGGTATATCTACTGATGAATATTTGCTCTTATTGGCCAAGTTTAAATTTTTTGAAATTTTATGTTAATTAAGACTTAGTATCACTTTAAATGAGCTAATGAGTTCATTAGTCTGGTAATTAGATATTTATATTTTTTTTAAAAGAATTTTGCTGAAGGCCGTGTACTAATTTTACACAGAAATTCCAAAGATTTGAATTGAAGTGAGGTAACAATTCAATGAAAATATAAAGGATTCATTTTTTTTAAATTTTGAATTGAAACTACAGGCTATTCATTTGTGTTAGAAGTTTTAATTAAAGTTAAATTTCAAAGAAAATTGACAATTTTCAACTTTTTATTTTTATGAATAGGTCATTATATTATATTAAACATCATTTTCTGCAAAGAAAATTGTCAAATGTTACATTTCGATGAATATAGATTTTCCAAACATTAAAATTTCTGGCAAATAGGAGCCTTTGTCCAATGTCGTTTTGCATCGGACATTCCAAATTTGAAGGTCTGCTCGTCGTCAAATTTTATTGCCATGAAGTTTTCGCTGGTTTTGTTTTGCGGTTGGTTACCGTACCACATAAAATGTAATACTAGACTGCCGTCTGCGTATTCCCATAATCCTTCTACTCTGTCGTCACTTCCGGCGATATAGAATCCCCCAGGATGAGTGGAATAGGCTGAAATAGACATATAAAACGTGAGGTGAGAGGGCGAGTCTGTCCTGTCCTGGTAAACGCTGAATGAGTACTGTATTTCTACTTTCACGAAATTTATATCTTGAAAAAGGCGGCCATTTTGTAAAATGAGCCACTGAACTGTGCCTAATGTGGTGCTTGTATGAACAAGTGAAGGATTTGTCCACTAATCTGTGGCACTAGTCTGGAGTGTAGCGGCGTTGTCAGTATACTGATTCCCGATCAGGGGGAGCTCATTTGGAAAGGACTGGAAAGCTTACCCGAAGAAGCATTAAGTTGAAGTGAAAGCTGATTCAGCCTTACATCGTCGTAATGGTGGAAAAGTTGTTCGCCTTTGCTTGTGCAAAAGTTGACGTTACTTTCATAAGGTACAACTTTTGCTAAAATATAGGGTTTGTAACATGTTCCACTTTGTCTATGGTAGATATAGTCGTCATATGTCGGACATCCACCATTTTCTACAAAATTAGAATTTAAAGGGATATAGACTAAATATTGACGTTATCAACTGATCGAGCTGAATTTCAACTAGGCCCTACCTGTACAATCGTCTAAACACTAAGGGCCATATGCAGCGCTCGTACTTTACCTAAACTTTGACTAAAGTTAGACTTGAGTCGAACTTTAGGTATGCACCGGTCGATCTTTACGAAAGTCGTGCTGAAATTTGACTATCAAATATAGAAAATGAAAGCCTTAATCCTATCTTTGTAAAGTTCGACTTTAGCCAAAGTTCAACTTTAGTCAAGGTAAGAGCGCTGCATACGGCCCTAAATATCGCTGCTAATTCAATTTGAGCTGTCTTGTCCGAATGTTAACCTTGCCAACTGGTATATTAGGCCCAATTTCAGCTCTTTTTACTTTTCAATAAAGCCCCCAGAATAGGTCGAAAAAAATTAAGGTTGATAAGCTGACTTTATGAAAGCTTCTAGTCTTTTCGATGGGACAATATCCCGAGGCCAGAAGTACCACAGATTGTGCATATTAAAGATTTCTTCTCTTCCATCACTGCTTCGATAATACTTTATCAGCCCGACCCTAAATAATACTAACACAGTTATTTGGTATGCAGAGTCGAAATCGTCATGCTTTTATTACACACACTAACTCTGACAACAATACCAACTTCCATCATAAATCTGTATCCAACCGCCATGCAAATTAAGTCTCAGAAAGGTTGCGCTGGATGAACGCACAAAAATATACACCATATTAACATGCAATTACACTGAAGCTATCTGTACATCAAATATATAATTATTACTTATTCATTCAAAATTAATAACAAAAAATATCAGCCAATGCTATTAATAATCCCAAATGCATAACAATGACTACATTTTTACCAAACTTTACAAAAAATCAGCGACCTAACACGACTGGCGAGTTCGACCTGAATGACTTTTTCATGAACATAAACGCTAATTACTTTAACTAACAACTCATTACGTATTACTACGCAACCGAAGAGAAATCATTTTCCGTCTAATTCGGTTCCCTCAACCGATGGAAAATGTATTTAACAGCTAAAAATATAATTCTATAAAAGAATAGGTTAAAGAGACAGATGCGCCGGTTTTTTTACCAATCATACTTAAGTTTCAGTAACGGGAATTTTGTAGAGAAGGCAATCAGTTAGGCCTATAGTGTTCACAGCTCACCGTCCAAATTTGAGCCTTCAAATCCATGTGTCCAGAATTATCCTCATTTGAATGTTAAAATGAAGACTCGTCATTTTAAGATACTCTGTGATATATAGAAATAGTGAGTAAAGTATATTTAAAGAAATTATGCGATTTTCGTACATTTCTGGTCCTTCTGAAGACATCAACGTAGGCTACATTCGAGACTAAATTCAACCCCCTTAAATGTCGCCTACTGTTGCTGGCGGGCTAAATTTCCTTTGTTGCACACTGCATAGGGCTTCTGTTGTCTTTTTTCATTCGCTGTTAGAAGCAAACACTGTCCTGTCACGCGGGACTACGACCTTGGGATCTTACGACAACTAAAATTGTACTTGCATGGTCGCCGAAAAACGAGAGAAAAAAGTCCCTATCAACCTGCGACATGTGCGACCATATTGCTTTCCCAATGGGCTAGGTGCGTTCATAGAGATGTTACGACGCTTGTCTAAAGACATTTTCGATTCCGTGGCGATCTCAACAACGAATATTGGCGACTATGGCGCTAACCGTACGGTATCTGACGCTTGCTTCACGCATATAACACGACTTACGGCGACCTCTTGCTCTGAGCTAATTTTCCGTTTCCGTTGCAGCTCAGTTATACATAAGGACGCCTTTCCAGTGTGACGGGCCTGTAAATGGTTACATTCAGTGTCACTCAATTAAAACAAACAATTTCAAAATCAAAAAGGTAGTCAGAAATTGATTTTTGGAATTGTTTTGATTAAATCGGAGATAATCGTGAGAAAACAACATTATTTATCCTCTCAAATGATTGCTTTTCTAAGAAAATTTTACGTTATCTTTGATCGTCATCAAAATATTAATAAATCAATCAGAAAAATAACTTGTAAAATTTTTTCACCCACAATGGGATCGATTCTGAATTTTTTGTTGATCAAAGTTCTTTAAAGGGCATCTAAATATTTTATATATATAGAGTTGAATTTCAGATAGCAGTATTTGTATAGCCTACCTAGGGTCTCGATTTATTGATCTATCCTAACAAGTTATTTTTTACAAAGAAAACCCTTTCTTAAAGATGGGTTCCCTTATTTTCATTAATGAAAATGCTAATACTTATATGAATAGAATTAGAGGTGTTCTAATAACTTGGAAAAAAACCAGTTTGTCTCACATGTCCATAATTAATTCATAATTAGCTAAATTAGAAGAGAATTGCTATCAGAATTCCAATAAGTGACCGATCAAGAAAGGACAAAAAGTCTTTTTTTGTTTATCCAGACTGTACATACATGGACATTTATGATTGGTTAGAACTCTTAATTATATGCAATAATAACATAATGATATGATTAAGAATACATGATAATTTATTAGAAACACCAATTAATAAAATAGTTTGCTTAATTTAAGACTAAAAAATAAGGAAACCCATCTTTAAGTACTGTTGGATATGCTTATATAATTTAAATTGAAATTGGAATAGTCAAAATGTAAATACACGTATAACTCTCTGAGCCACCTCGGCCTCTCAATAAGGGAAAAGAACCGTTTGATGTAACAGACAATGATAATTGATTCCAATCTATTCTAATCAATAAATGTTTAAATGTTTGATTTGATAAAGATTTTTGTATTATAGTAAATCTATATTGAAGGAAAAAAAGCCTTCTTGTTAACAGGAAGTCAAATAAAGGACTTATGAACTAAGTTAACTACGCGTTCTTATCCTCAGCTCTATTCAGATTTTAAGAACTTCTTTAAATCTTAAAATTTTAGCAAGCAACTGATCATGCATTACACGTTTGATTGGTTTAAAATAACGTCACTAGAACGCAGCCGCAGAAGAAAACTTGTTAGAGTACAAGGAAAAAATATCAGAACAAAGCAAAAATTTACTCGTATTCCAATTAGATGAGGCAAAAGGGTGAATCGTTTACACAGATATGTTTGAAGCAATCACTGTTGTAATAATAACTACTTCTTTAGAGAGTCTTATGAATTGAAATGAGGTTTTTCTTCCTGCTTGTATGTATCTGGTTTGGCTAATGAACCCGGGCAACGCCATTCAGTATGATGGGGTGGGGGATTATGCCAGGACAGCGCCTTTTGTTTACTCTTTTTTCGACTGTTGAATAACATTTAACGTGCTTAAATTGTAACACAAGGGCCACGATTTATTATCCCATTCGAGCAAATGGACGTGTCCATGTCAGCCCCTCCGACTCGTATCACTGATGGTATTATCACGACCACCTATGCTGGGAAAGAACTCTGATTTCCAGGTTAGCGAGAAATTCATTGAGCCACCACAAAGGATGGAAGGGGTAGTGGAACCAAGGAATTTGGATAAAAAAAAATGTTACCCACCGTCACGCACGACTGAATAAGTCGTAAAAGGTCTACTGGTCGTATCGTTTGGCGTAACAAAAACCACAGCATGCGTTTGGCAGAGTTTTTCTACTGGGTTGAAGAAATAGGAAATGCAGTCTATATTTTGAGCACACAAAATGGCACATTTGAGTTTTCTCGGCACATATGGAAAACTTTCTAAAACATATTTGTTAATGATCTTATTTGTAAATGTTTGTTTAATGTTCGATTTTGTGATTTGAATGGACGATATGACCCTTTCAATCCGAGGGAAAAAAACACAAAATGTTAACAAAGACAAATAGATAAACCAATCCATCTTTAATTCGTGCAAAGTTCCGTTGAAGTTCCGTGTAATGTTAGTAGCCTAACTCACAAATGTTAGAAACTACAAAGTTTCGATGAATTTCCGTTGGTAACGCCCTTTTTACAATAACTTTCACCTCCTGTATATAACAGTTTCAACGTTTCGACAATGTTCCGTTTGAAACTCGTATTTGTTATTATCTATTTAATCACCGTTAGAAACTTACTTATTTTGGCAATCCATTTTCACTCCATGTAAAAATACCGACGACGTTTCGATAACGTACCGACTACTGAGTGATGCTCCTTTGTGAGATCATTACAGCGTTTCGATAAGGTTCCATGTTATGTTCACAAGCCAATTTTATTCTCGTGTAGAATCCCTGCACAACGTTTCGATAAGATACGTATAATTTGTGTATTTTCACCATTTAAACACGATGGATTGGTTCTTTAATATTTATAACTTTTTTTAGAGCCTGAGTATTTAATAGATTTGACCACATATTAAAATTTTGTAAGATATCCAAGTCTGAATGTGCCGTGCCAGTCGTTGTTGGCTGTGTTAGTTCCAACATTCAAGAAATTCAATAGTTTTCAAGAGAAAAAAACTCTGACTGAAATCCAATCTATAGTCACTCGCGACTTCTCGAGATGAAAATACTAAAAGAATCAACGTGAAATATTCGTTCTGGAAAACACTATCAGGAATATTAGATCTTTGAGATTAATCTCGGGCGGATCTGAAATTGGACGAAATCCTGGCCATGTATTCTCGAAACAATCTTAGTGCTAGGATGTCCTATAATCAGAAGATTATTAGAAGATAAGAACCTAGGACATCCTAGCGCTAAGATCGTTTCAAGAATACGTGGCCTGATTAATCTGAGCAAACCTTTTGGTAACAGTCTGCAAAAATAAGGAATTAGATTCCAGACATTTCATAGAGTATAGCTCAAATTAGATACGATTTCTGTCTCGGATCTTAGCCGAAATCAAAAATAAGCTTCTGGGTCATTTTACAAAGCTCAGCAAAAATCCAGAATGGCCTTTAACCCTTCTCAGAGCTTAGCCAAAATTTAAAACAGTCTTTTATGTTTTTCCCAGAGACAGCCTTTGAAACCTTTCTCAGAGCTTCGCAAAAATCAAGAATAGCCTTCGAAACCTTTCTCAGAGCTTAGCAAAAATCAAGTACAGCCTTCGAAACCTTTCTCAGAGCTTAGCTAAACTTTCTAAAAACTTGATTCTTCGCTTAACAAAAACAAGGAAAACCTTCTAAAGATATCAATTTCATTAAAATTGGTAACAATGGCGTCTGGGATTTCTACACTTTGAGTCTTTTGATTCAATGTCGTTTTATTGTTTTTTAAGACATTAAAGATACCATTTTGTGTATGAAATGGAGTTTTACGTCCTATATTGTGTGCGTGCTATGAGGAATTTTTTTACCTGGAGAAATCCTATTGTCCTTATCTGTTTATCATGGTCCAAGGATAGCTTGTACATCCTTGTATTAGTTCAGAGACACTGTTGGCATCGATTTGTAGATTTCCTTTGTAGATTTCCCGTCCGATTCTGTTGTTTTTGTTATTTCCACAAAACAAAATCTGAACTATATTATGACGTCACCATCGCAAATCCCGATTTCTCTTGACGGGGTTATTGTTTTTTTTTTTAA